GGGAGGAGGGCGAGGCTACGGCTTGGCCCTGGCGCTGCGTTTTGCTGTGACCATGGGAGACGGAAAGCTTGCTGTGATTGGGGGTGATGAGTGTCAGTCACGCAGAGCCACGCGGAACCTGGTTCTCAGTGCGGAGGCACCTCCGGGCGTGGGTTGGTATTTCAGTCGCATCGTCATCATCATCATCATCATCATCATCATCATCATCGTCGTCGTCATCGTCACTACATATACAGGGCGGGCAAAAGTAGGTTTACAGTTGTGAGTCCACAAAACAGTTTATTCTCACAATAAACCATCGTATTCTTTTCCCAACAAACATCTGTAAACCTACTGTTGCCCCCATTTTATGGATATGATTCCTATATTGACGGTTCTTTCACTCATTTGTTAACTCATTTGTTCAGTGAGGAGCCAGCCCTCTGTTATGAAAATGCTGCTAATGGCCAAGGATACAGACACAGACGAGGCGAGACAGGGACGCTTAGAGGGACGCTGCCCTCTATATTCATGGAAAAGCCGCTCTGCGTGTCTGTGCCTTTCCGTGTGCTCGTCCCTCCACCCCGAGCGACCTCCCATCCCGTTCTCACCGGCCCCCTCACCACTGTCGCAGGGGCGCACCCTGTGGTTTTCCCCTCCGGGCGACGTACCCACCTGCCCGTCGCTCTGACGTCTGTCCCTCGCCCTCCGCACCTGTGCTCCTCCCTCGAGACTCGCCTGGCGGGCAGGCTCCTGTGCACCCCTGGCTCTGAGCTCTCTCGGGGGGACTCTGTCTTACTCCTCGTTGTGTGAGAGGCTCAGCTCATACGCTGTGTGTGAACTAGTGACTCAGTAACCCCCAGTGGCCTGGCCCTGAAGTAAACAGCGTAAACAAATGTTAACCGAACTCCAGGGTCTGTGTGCGGAGCGGGGAGACCCCTGGGCCTCTGTGACCCCAGAACTAAGCAGGGGGAGCGGGAGGCAGACAAGACCACTCTCAGCTGCTGGGAGGCTCAGGTTGAGGCTGAACCTTTGAGGGAGGCCGGCAGACGGAGGGGAGGCATCGTCACGGACGCCCTGGGTTCCACCAGCGAGCAGCGGAAGGTGGCTGCCGGCCTGCGGGAGAGTCGCCGGGAACCAACGGCTTATCACTGACCGGGCCTTGTGTCCTGTGCCTGAGGCTGGACTGTGTGTAGTCAGTGACCGGCCAGAGCCACCGGGCACAGCCCGGTCGGAGGCAGCACACCCTCCAGGTAGGATGGAGGCAGCAGCCGGAAGCAGGACATGAAATCAGGAAAAGCACAAAACGGGAGCCAACGCGACACGGCCATGGAGACCAAGGCCACATAGCAGAGGACAAACGCAAGACAAGGTGCGGAGACAGCGTGGGGGCTGCTGGGGCTGAGGGAGGACACCCTGGGGCTGAGGGAGGACACCCTGGGGCTGAGGGAGGACACCCTGGGGCTGGGGGAGAACACCCTGGGGTGGCAGCGAGAACAGGAGGCAGGTTGGCACGGACCCGAAGACGAATGGGAGCCTGAGAAAACTCGGATCTGGCAGCTGGAGATGGAAGAGGAGTTGCGAAGAGGAGCTGAGAGCGCCCGGGGGCTGGGACACCTTCAGTATCAGAGCCCGAGCGAGTCTTAGCCTAAAGGGGTGTCGGGTGGGAAAAGGAGCTGAAAGTGCAGGAGACGGAGGAAGGACCTGTGGAGCTGGGCGCTGAAGGGTCGCATTCACCACAACACGGAGACGTGTCTGGACGGAGGGAGGACAGTTTCCTCTGAGACGGGGCTGGGAGGCTGGGAGGCTGGGAGGCTGGGAGGCTGGGAGGCTGAGAGGCTGGGAGGCTGGGAGGCTGGGAGGCTGGGGGTGGGGGGCGCGAATGGAGGTGGGTGTGCGGGGAGAGGGCAGTCGGGGTGCTCCTGGTAGATGCTCTTTTCTCCATGAAATAAGCAGCTGGATTGCAGGGAGCAAAGGGCAGGGGCAGCAGGAAGCCCTGGACAGCAGGGAGCGGGGGAGGGGAGTCACCGCAGGGAGGGAGGAGGCCGAGGACAGGCAGGACGCTCCAGCCGCACCAGGACCCGCCAGACAAGGACCCGTGGCCGCCAGGTGACCAGTGGCCCGGCCCGCGGGCCAAGCCCATGCTCCCAGCAGCTGGGAGGAGCGGAGTTTGGAGCGAGAAGACTTGAATGAAAGCTCAGGCGAGAGCTGACAGTGTGGGCGGCGGAAGGAGAAGGAGCCTGTGAAAGACGTGATCGATGAAACACGCGTGTACTTTGTGCCCAAACCAGGACCTTGAGGATTAAAGACGGCATGAGAGACAGTAATCACAGGCGATCCATGGGAACCTCAGCACAGGTGGGAAATTAAGTCAACACAGAACAGGTCACAAAGAGATGGGAAAACCTCTCTCTGAGTGTAGACGGAGTGGGGGGAGGGAGATGGGAGGACCAGACGACAGGCCAGTGGGGTCCTGGGTTTTGTTTGTGGAAGAGGAGCAGGTGCAGATACTGACAGGTGTGCATAGGGCAGGGGTGGGCAAACTTTTTGACTCGAGGGCCACAATGGGTTCTTAAACTGGACCGGAGGGCCGGAACAAAAGCATGGATGGAGTGTTTGTGTGAACTAATATAAATTCAAAGTAAACATCACTACATAAAGGGTACGGCCTTTTTTTTTTTTAGTTTTATTCATTTCAAACGGGCCAGATCCGGCCCGCGGGCCGTAGTTTGCCCACGGCTGGCATAGGGGCTTCTCAGGGCAGAGCGGGTGGAGGGAGGGACGGTGGGGACAGTGTGACGAACTTCAGGTCCACGTGATAGTTCCACATTCCCGGGGCAGGTGCAGAGTGGATTTAGTGGCGGAGCTGCAGCCTCCAAGGCTCCTGAGACGGGGATGGTGACGGTGCTGACAGACGGGGGCCGATGGAGAGAAGGAAAGAGTCAGGGACTAAAAGAGAAGCCGGAAGGACCCAGCGAGAGAAGAGCCGTGGGTGCTGTCTTCTGGGGAGCCCACCACAGAGGCGGGGTTAACCATCTGCTGAGCACAGAGAACCAGGCATGCTCACGTCTCCAATGGTTAGAAAGGTGGACGTAGGTCGCATTACACAGAGGAACAGAGACGTGATCTTGGTGCTGCATGAGCTGTGTGGATGTTAGTAAGTTCCCTAACCTTTTTGTACCTCAATTTCCATGTGATAAGGACCCTAATCTGTCACAATTTCATGGGCATCACATAGATGCAATGGCTGAGGGGACCTGTGATCAACAACACGTTCAACAATGTCATTGTGAGGACACTGTGGGGTTGGTGCTCTGGGTAGAACTGAAGGACCCCCAGAGCGGATACCAATGTCCTGGGGAGCGGCTCTGGGGTAAAATATCACCATGAGTGTGGACTTACAGAAACCCTCTGCAGGAAATGCTCAGTGTCAGTGCAGCCCAGCACTGCGCTCTAATGAGATCCAGTACAGACTCATTAGCAATTCCTTAGCCAGTCAAAGCATTGAGTGGGGCTCATTTAATAGGCTCATTCCACACAGAAACGCCCCGCCCTCCCCAGAACCTGGACTCCTGGACGAAGCTTTGAAACCACGTGTTCCAATGACTAGATCATCGATGGGCACTGTTCTCATTGACGTGTCATTGGCTCAAGACAAGGCCCAGGCGACACAAAACAAACATGGTTCCCAGTAAAAGTGAGAGACTCAATACTAATGGTAGTTTACTACCGAGTCCTCTCATGATCCACTGACAGGAGTGACCTGCACAGACCGGGCGTTAAGTGAATGTTTCCTGGGTGAGTCACAGACGCGATGGCATTCCCGGGCCCTTCCTGGCGGATATAAAGCTTCCAGGGGAGGAGGCGACATTCACACTCAGAAACGTCCCTCTTCGCCTCAACCCAACCTTCACCCTCCGCCAGCATGTGCTGCAACTACTACGGGAACTCCTACGGGGGCTGTGGCTACGGCTCTGGCTATGGCTGTGGCTATGGCTCTGGCTATGGCTGTGGCTATGGCTCTGGCTATGGCTGTGGCTATGGCTCTGGCTATGGCTCTGGCTATGGCTGTGGCTATGGATCTGGCTACGGCTGTGGCTATGGATCTGGCTACGGCTGTGGCTATGGCTCTGGCTATGGCTGTGGCTATGGATCTGGCTACGGCTGTGGCTATGGATCCAGATATGGCTGTGGCTATGGATCTGGCTATGGCTGTGGCTATGGCTCTGGCTATGGCAGTGGCTGCTGTACCTTCCGACCATCCTGCTACCAACGATGCTATTCCTCTTGCTGCTAGAACATGTCCCATTCGTCCTCTCTACACTCCAGTGAGGGTTGGACACATCCTGTTTGTTATTGAGGAAGTAGGAATGCGTCCATTGTGGGACCTGAAGACGGAAGATGTGATTGTGATTACGTTCACAATGTCCACGCTCGGCTTTTCTATCCTATGAAGTTGTGTTGTCCTGGAACACAAATACGCCAGAGTTGGAAGAAATTATACTTTTTCAATAAACAAACGTGATGTGTTCCTGGAAGTAACTGTGTTTGTGTCAGAATCGTCACTGTCCTTGTGGGCTTCCCAGAAGCCGATCGGCCACTGTGTCCGCCAATCCCTGGGTTTCTTATTCCGTCATCGACTGTATGTGCCGTTCTCTCACCAACACACATGGTCCTGTTACTGCAGGTCACAGTAGGTCTTAGTGTTGGGTGATGTGTACGTTCCAACCTTGCTCCTCTTCACAATTATTGTGGCTTTTCTGGTTTCTTTGTTTTCCATCTAAACTTTAGAATCAGCTTGTCAAAATCTACAAAAATGCCCTGCTGAGAGTTTTATTGGTATTGAATGGAATCCATTCACCAATTGTGGGGGAGTGGATTCTTCACACTATTGAGTCTCTGGTCCATAAACATGGTGTGTGGGTCTCATTTGATTTCTGTGGCGGGTTCACATTCAAAATTCAATGATGAGCTTTGTACTCACTGAAGGCATATTCTGGAGGGGGAGGCAAAAAGCAGTGTAAGAATCAAAAACACATCTAAATAACTAAATAAAATAGTGAATTAACAAATTTATAAAGGGTGTTTATAATGATTAATGAGATAAACAGTGGGTTGCTGTGAAATATCACGTGGCCTATAAAACTCACTGAAGAAACAGACACTCTTCACAGGCTTGTAACTTCTAAATACATTGAACCAATAATAACCCTCCAAACAGAAAGCTTCACGGGAAAATTCTCCAAAAGTTTTAAAGAATATGTTACACCAATTCTCTACAATCACTTCCAGAAATAAAATCCGAGGGAAACTTACCAACTCATTCAATGAGGTTGCCATTACCTTAATACCAACACCAGGGAAAGACATTACAAAAATAAAGACTACAGTCAAATATCTAGATGAACATAGATACAAAAGGTATAAATGAACATGGTACAAAAATTAAGCATCAGCAATTTGACTCCGGCATTGTGTAAGAAGAATTATACACATCCACCTAGTGAGATATACCCCAATTATGCAAGGCTGGTTCAGTGCTCAAAAATGAATTCATGTAATTTATTACATTAGCAGCCTGAAGAAGAAAAATCACATGATTGGTTCAATATCTGACAAAATCCAACATCCATTCAGGAATAAAATGTTCCTATAATGAGGAAAAAAGGAAACTTCTTCAACTGGATGGAGAATATAATATGTACATAAATCCTATTAGCAGGATCACGCATACTTAACAGCGAGAAACCAGACATTTTCCCGCTGTGATAGGGGGCAAGGCAAGGAAGTTCTCTCCGTGTTTCTCTTCAGTGTCATATTGGAAGACCTTGCTGATGCAATAACACAAGATAAAGAATTAAAAGTCATATTTATGAGAGAAAGAAAGAAAAAAAAGATGAAAAAATGAAAGGAAGCATGGAAGGAAGGAAGGAAGGAAGGAAGGAAGGAAGGAAGGAAGGAAGGAAGGAAGGAGAAAGAAAACTGTCTTTTTCTACTTGGGCATGATTGTCTAGGTAGAAAATCCAAAAGAAAAAAAGGAGAAAACAAAACTTCTGTAAGTAGCAGGTGATTGAAGCAAGGATAGAGTATACAAGGTCAATATACAAAAGTCAATTGCTTTTCTACACATTAATATGAAATTAGACAATAATAGCATGGACTATAGCAGCCAAAATATAAAATACTTAGATATAAATCTAAAAGAAATGTGTACATGATCTATATGATCAAAACCATAAAACTCTCACGTAAGAAATTTGGGAAGAACTAAATGAAGAGCTATTCTATGTTTACGGATGGGAAGACTCAATACTCTGGAGATAGTTCTTAGATTCCCTGCAAACCCACTCAAAGTTCCAGCCTATTGTTGTGTGGATTTCACCAAAGTGATTAGAAAGTTTCCATGGCGAAGGGGGCCCAGGACAGCCAGCACAATATCGAGGGAAGGAACCAGTTGGAGAACGAACTCTACTCGACTTCAATTCTCACGATGAAGCCACAGTCATCAGCACAGGGAGGCTATTCTTGAAGAAATAGAATCAATTTTTATGAGTGAGATCTATGTGTAGTCTCATTTATTAAACTCTTAACAGGGGACATTTCATTGTGTGCTATGAACAGAGAAGGAACGTATGTGATCCCTGCTTTCTAACAGTGTGGGAAACGCAAATAATACACAAGCTATAAAGATGGAATGATTGCTCTAATACAGTGATGGCGAACCTTTTGAGCTCAGCGTGTCAGCATTTTGAAAAACCCTAACTTAACTCTGGTGCCATGTCACATATAGAAATTTTTTGATATTTGCAACCATAGTAAAACAAATATTTATATTTTTGATATTTATTTTATATATTTAAATGCCATTTAACAAAGAAAAATCAACCAAAAAAATGAGTTCGTGTGTCACCTCTGACAGGCGTGTCATAGGTTCGCCATCACTGCTCTAATATGATGACACACAGCGGTGCTTGGGAAATGCAGAGGAAGAAGTCAGAGGAGAGGCCAGGATGAAGAGTAAGAAGAGAGAAAGGTCGGGAATCTTCCTGAAGAAGAGACAAACTTCTAGCTTAAACAGGAAGGAGGTGGGTCCAAGTCGGCCAAACACACGTGAAGGGAAATAGCTTTGAGGACAGGAGACGATGCCCAGATGCTGACCCCACATTGCGGTAGCTCCCTCTCTCCCGAGGAGATGCAATAGTTTGGCGTCAGGAAGACCTCGGCAGACGCATGAGTGAGCGTCCAGGCGGACCCCCAGGGACACCCAGCCACGTGGAACGGCCTCCCGTGCAGCGTGGGAAGGACCAGCACGTGCCTCTCACATTGGGAGGAAAAACTCACTTTTATGATCACGTTATGCTTGGGGCTGGTATGAAAAATCCAAGATGAATAAATTGAATTTCAGTTTCAAAAATGATAACTTTTTAGCATAAATATGTCTTGTGCTCTCTCAGGGACAGACATGCCAATGGGCAACTCCAGTTTAATGATACGCCACCAATTTCGCCCAAGTCCTGGCTGGCCCCTTGGGTGTGACCTTGTGAGAATTGGAGCCGAGATGCCAGTCAGGCTGAGCTCAGAGCCCAGACCCACGAGGCCTGTGAGTTCACAAGCGAGCGCTGCTCCTGCTGCTCCTGTGCAGTCACTACAACGGGCCTCCTCTCGGTCCTCTCCGTGACCTGGGGGGTGCAGGGGGCCTGGGTGACCTGGGGGTCAGGTCTGCGCATCAACAGGGGTCAGGAGACCAGTCGCGGGATGATGTCAGAGACCAAGCCCCTGGAGGGACAGGGAGATGGTGGCGGGGGGGCCCTCAGCCATGCCTGAGGGGACTGGCTCCTGCACAAGGTGCTGAAGGAAAGTTCATGCAGGACCCAGAGTGTCCCCAGGAAGAATGAGAGACTCAGAAGTGATTGAGGGCTTCATAACAGGGTAACTTTACCAAGAAAATGGATCCTTGTAGGAAATGATGAGCTCCCTGTTACGGCAACTGTTCTCGTCTCCAATGATTAGAAAGGAGGCATATGTCACATTACAAAGAGGAACAGAGACTTGATCTTGGAGCTGCATGAGCTGTGTGGATTTTAGAAAGTTCCCTAACCTTTTTGTACCTCAATTTCCATGTGATAAGGACCCTAATCTGTCACAATTTCATGGGCGTCACATAGATGCAATGGCTGAGGGGCCCTGTGCTCGACAACACGTTCAACAATGTCATTGTGTGGACACTGTGGGGTTGGTGCTCTGGTAGAACCGAAGGACCCCCCAGAGCGGATACCAGTGTCCTGGGGAGCGGCTCCCGGGGTAAAACAGGCCACGACCCAGCATCTCATGAGTGTGGACTTACAGGAAGCCTCTGCCAGGAAATGCTCAGTGTCAGTGCAGCCCAGCCCTGCGCTCCAATGAGATCCAGTACGGACTCTTTAGCAATTCCTTAGCCAGTCAAAGCGTTGAGTGGAGCTCATTTAATAGGCTCATTCCAGACAGACACGCCCCACCCTCCCCAGAACTTTGACTCCTGGACTGAGCTTTGAAACCACGTGTTCCGATGAGTAGATCATTGATGGGCACTGTTCTCATTGACGTGTCATTGGCTCAAGACAAGGCCCAGGCGACACAAAACAAACACGGTTCCCAGTAAAAGTGAGAGACTCTATACTAATGGTCGTTAACTACCGAGTCCTCTCATGATCCACTGACAGGAGTGACCTGCACATACCGGGCGTTAAGTGAATGTTTCCTGGGTGAGTCACAGACGCGATGGCATTCCCGGGCCCTTCCTGGCGGATATAAAGCTTTCAGGGGAGGAGGCAACATTCACACTCAGAAACGTCCCTCTTCACCTCAACTCAACCCTCACCCTCCGCCAGCATGTGCTGCAACTACTACGGGAACTCCTACGGGGGCTGTGGCTACGGCTCTGGCTATGGCTGTGGCTATGGCTCTGGCTATGGCTGTGGCTATGGATCTGGCTATGGCTGTGGCTACGGCTCTGGCTATGGCTGTGGCTATGGCTCTGGCTATGGCTGTGGCTATGGCTCTGGCTATGGCTGTGGATATGGATCCAGATATGGCTGTGGTTATGGATCTGGCTATGGCTGTGGCTATGGATCTGGCTATGGCTGTGGGTATGGATCTGGCTATGGCTGTGGCTATGGATCTGGCTATGGCTGTGGCTGCGGCTCTGGCTATGGCTGTGGCTGCTGTACCTTCCGACCATCCTGCTACCGACGATGCTATTCCACTTGCTGCTAGAACATGTCCCATTCGTCCTCTCTACACTCCAGTGAGGATTGGACACATCCTGTTTTTACATCCAATTCTTGTTTGTTATTGAGGAAGTAGGAATGTGTCCATTGTGGGACCTGAAGACGGAAGATGTGATTGTGATTACGTTCACAATGTCCATGCTCGGCTTTTCTATCCTATGAAGTTGTGTTGTCCTGGAACACAAATACACCAGAGTTGGAAGAAATTATACTTTTTCAATAAACAAACGTGATGTGTTCCTAGAAGTAACTGTGTTTTGTGTCAGAATCGTCACTGTCCCTGTGGGCTTCCCAGAAGCCGATGGGGCACCGTGTCCGCCGATCCTGGGTTTCTTATTCCGTCATCAACTGCATGTGCCATTCTCTCACCAACACACATGGTCTTGTTACTGCAGGTCACAGTAGGTCTTAGTGTTGGGTGATGTGTATGTTCCAACCTTGCTCCTCTTCACAATTACCGTGGCTCTTCTGGTTTCTTTGTTTTCCATCTAAATTTAGAATCAGCTTGTCAAAATCTACAAAAATACCCTGCTGAGAGTTTTATTCGGATTGAATGGAATCCATTCACCAATTGTGGGGGAATGGACTCTTCACACTATTGAGTCTCTGGTCCATAAACATGGGGTGTGGGTCTCCTTTGATTTCTGTGGAGGCTTTTCATTCAGAATTCAACAATGAGCTATGTGCTCACTGAAGGCATGTTCTGGAGGGGGAGGTGAATAGCAGTGCAAGAATCAAAAACACGTCTAAACAACTAAATAAAAACAGTAAATTAACAGAATTATAAGGGTGTTTATAATGATTAATGACATAGACAGTGGGTTGCTGTGAAATATCATGTGGCCTATAAAACTCAATGAAGAAACAGACACTCTTCACAGGCTTGTAACTTCCTAATATATTGAACCAATGGTAACCCTCCAAAACAGAAAGCTTCACGGGAAAATTCTCCAAAAGTTTTAAAGAATAAGTTACACCAATTCTCTACAATCACCTCCAGAAATAAAACCAGAGGGAAAACTTACCAACTCATTCAATGAGGTCGCCATTACCTTAATACCAACACCAGGGAAAGACATTACAAAAATAAAGACTACAGTCAAATATCTAGATGAACATAGATACAAAAGGTATAAATGAACATGGTACAAAAATTAAGCATCAGCAATTTGACGCCGGCATGGAGTAAGAAGAATTATACACATCCACCTAGTGAGATATACCCCAATTATGCAAGGCAGGTTCAGTGCTCAAAAATGAATTCATGTAATTTATTACATGAGCAGCCTGAAGAAGAAAAATCATATGATCGGTTCAATAAAAACAGGGAAAGCATGTGACAAGATCCAACATCCATTCATGAATAAAATGTTCCCGTAATCAGGAAAAAAGGAAACTTCCTCAACTTGATAGAGAATATAATATGTACACAAATCCTATTAGCAGCATCACCCATACTTATCAGCGAGAAACCAGACATTTTCCCGCTGTGATCAGGAGCAAGGCAAGGAAGTTCTCTCCGTGTTTCTCCTCAATGTCATATTGGAAGACCTAGCTGATGCAATAATACAAGATAAAGAAATAAAAATCATACTTATGAGACAGAGAAAGAAAGGAAAGAAGAATGAAAGGAAGGAAGGAAGAAATAAAAAGATAGAAAACTGCATTTTTCTACTTGGGCATGATTGTCTAGGTAGAAAATCCAAAAAAAAAAAAGGAGAAAAAAAAAAAACTTCTGTAAGTAGCAGGTGATTGAAGCAAGGATAGAGTATACAAGGTCAATATACAAAAGTCAGTTGCTTTTCTACATATTATATGAAATTAGACAATAATAGCATGAACTATAGCAGCCAAAATATAAAATACTTAGATATAAATCTAAAAGAAATGTGTACATGATCTATATGAGCAAAAACATAAAACTCTGACGTAGGAAATTAGGGAAGAACAAAATGAAGAGCTATTCTATGTTTACGGATGGGAAGACTCAATACTCTGGAGATAGTTCTTAGATTCCCTGCAATCCCACTCAAAGTTCCAGCCTATTGTTGTGTGGATTTCACCAAAGTGATTAGAAAGTTTCCATGTCGAAGGGGGCCCAGAACAGCCAGCACAATATTGAGGGAAGGAACCAGTTGGAGAACGAACTCAATTCTCACGATGAAGCCACGGTCATCAGCACAGGGAGGCTATTCCTGAAGAAACAGAACCGATTTTTATGAGATCTATGCGTAGTCTCATTCGCTGAACATTTATTAACCTCTTAACAGAGGACATTTCAATGTGTGCTATGAACAGAGATCAAACGTATGTAATTCCTGCTTTCTAAAAGTGTGGGAAACGCAAATAAATCACAAGCTATAAAGATCGAATGATTGCTATGATATGACTTCACACAGGGGTGCTTGGGAAATACAGAGGAAGAAGTCAGAGGAGAGGCCAGGATGAAGAGTAAGAAGAGAGAAGGGTCCGGAATCTTCCTGAAAAAGAGACAAACTTCTAGCTTAAACAGGAAGGAGGTGGGTCAGAGTCGGCCAACCACACGCGAAGGGAAATAGCTTTGAGGACAGGAGAGGATGCCCAGATGCTGACCCCGCATTGCGGTAGCTCCCTCCATCCCGAGGAGATGCAATAGTTTGGCGTCAGGAAGACCTCGGCAGGCGCATGAGTGAGCGTCCAGGCTGATCCCCAGGGACACCCAGCCACGTGGAACGGCCTCCCTTGCAGCGTAGGAAGGACCAGCACGTGCCTCTCACATTGGGAGGAAAAACTCACTTTTATGATCATGTTATGCTTGGGGCTGGTATAAAAAATTCAAGGTGAATAAATTGAATTTCAGTTTTAAAAATAATAACTTTTTAGGATAAATATGTGTCGTGCACGCTCAGGGACAGACGTGGCAATGGGCAACTCCAGTTAAATGATACACCAATCAGATTCCCCCGCGTTCTGGCTGGCCCCTTGGGTGTGACCTTGTGAGAATCTGAGCCGAGATGCCAGTCAGGCTGAGCTCAGACCCCAGACCCACAAGGTCTATGAAATCACAAGTGGGCGCTGCTCCTGCTGCTCCTGTGCAGTCACTACAATGGGCCTCCTCGTGGTCCTCTCCGTGACCTGGGGGGGTGCAGGGGGCCTGGGTGACCTGGGTCGGGTCTGCACATCAACAGGGGTCAGGAGACCAGTCGCAGGGATGATGTCAGAGACCAAGCCCCTGGAGGGACAGGGAGAAGGAGGGGCCCTCAGCCATGCCTGAGGGGACTGGCTCCTGCACAAGCTGCTGAAGGAATGTTCATGCAGGACCCAGAGTGTCCCCGGGAAGAATGAGAGACTCGAGGTGACTGGGGGCTTTATGATAGAGTAACTTTACCAAGAAAATGGATCCTTGTAGGAAATGATGAGCTTTCTGTATGGCAAGTGTTCACGTCTCCAATGATTAGAAAGGTGGACGTAGGTCGCATTACACAGAGGAACAGAGACTTGATCTTGGTGCGGCATTAGCTGCGTGGATTTTAGTAAGTTCCCTAACCTCTTTGTACCTCAATTTCCACAGTATAAGTTCCCTAATCTTTCACAATTTCATGGTTGTCAAATAGATGCAATGGCTGAGGGGACCTGTGCTCGACAACACGTTCAACAATGTCATTGTGTGGACACTGTGGGGTTGGTGCTCTGGGTAGAACTGAAGGACCCCCAGAGGAAATACCAATGTCCTGGGGAGCAGCTTCCAGGGTAAAACAGGCCACGACCCAGCATCTCATGAGTGTGGACTTACAGGAGCCCTCAGCCAGGAAATGCTCAGTGTCAGTGCAGCCCAGCACTGCGCTCCAATGAGATCCACTACAGACTCATTAGCAATTCCTTAGCTGTCAAAGCGTTGAGTGGGGCTCATTTAATAGGCTCATTCCAGACAGACACGCCCCTCCCTCCCCAGAGCTTTGACTCCTGGACTGAGCTTTGAAACCACGTGTTCCGATAAGTAGATCATCGATGGGCACTGTTCTCATTGACTTGTCATTGGCTCAAGACAAGGCCCAGGCGACACAAAACAAACACGGTTCCCAGTAAAAGTGAGAGACTCTATACTAATGGTCGTTAACTACCGAGTCCTCTCATGATCCACTGACAGGAGTGACCTGCACATACCGGGCGTTAAGTGAATATTTTCTGGGTGAGTCCCAGACTCGATGGCATTCCCAGGCCCTTCCTGGCGGATATAAAGCTTCCAGGGGAGGAGGCAACATTCACACTCAGAAACGTCCCTCTTCACCTCAACCCAACCTTCACCCTCCGCCAGCATGTGCTGCAACTACTACGGGAACTCCTACGGGGGCTGTGGCTACGGCTCTGGCTATGGCTGTGGCTATGGATCTGGCTATGGCTGTGGATATGGCTCTGGCTATGGCTGTGGATATGGCTCTGGCTATGGCTGTGGCTATGGATCTGGCTATGGCTGTGGATTTGGATCCAGATATGGCTGTGGATATGGATCTGGCTATGGCTGTGGCTATGGCTCTGGCTATGGCTGTGGATATGGATCTGGCTATGGCTGTGGATATGGATCTGGCTATGGCTCTGGCTACGGCTGTGGCTACGGATCTGGCTATGGCAGTGGCTGCTGTACCTTCCGACCATGCTGCTACCGACGATGCTATTCCTCTTGCTGCTAGAACATCCGCCTAGAACACCCTGCGCCTCCAACATAATATTGAAAATTAATGCTTTTCCTCCGAACGATGTCCCATTCGTCATCTCTACACTCCAGTGAGGATTGGACACCTCCTGTTTTTACATCCACTTCTTGTTTGTTATTGAGGAAGTAGGAATGTGTCCATTGTGGGACCTGAAGACGGAAGATGTGATTGTGATTACGTTCACAATGTCCACGCTCGGCTTTTCTATCCTATGAGGTTGTGTTGTCCTGGAACACAAATACGCCAGAGTTGGAAGAAATTATACTTTTTCAATAAACAAACTTGATGTGTTCCTGGAAGTAACTGTGTTTGTGTCAGAATCTTCACTGTCCCTGTGGGCTTCCCAGAAGGCCGATCGGCCACTGTGTCCGCCAATCCCTGGGTTTCTTATTCCGTCATCGACTGCACGTGCCGTTCTCTCACCAACACACATGCTCCTGTTTACTGCAGGTCGCAGTGGGTCTTAGTGTTGGGTGATGTGCGTGTTCCAACCTTGCTCCTCTTCACAATTAACGTGGCTCTTCTGGTTTCTTTGTTTTCCATCTAAACTTTAGAATCAGCTTGTCAAAATCTACAAAAATACCCTGCTGAGAGTTTTATTGGGATGGAATAGAATCCATTCACCAATTGTGGAGGAATGGATTCCTCACACTATTGAGCCTTTTGGTCCATAAACATGGTGTGTAGGTCTCCTGTAATTTCTTTGGTGGGTTCTCATTCAAAATTCAGTGATGAGCATTGTACTCACTGAAGGCATATTCTGGAGTGGGAGGCAAATAGCAGTGTAAGAATCAAAACCACATCTAAATAACTAAATATAAATAATAAATTAACATAATTATAAAGGGTGTTTATAATGATTAATGATATAAAAAGTGGGTTGCTGTGAAATATCACATGGCCTATAAAACTCACTGAAGAAACAGACACTCTTCACAGGCTTGTAACATCTAAATATATTGAACCAGTAATAACCCTCCAAAACAGAAAGCTTTACGGGAAAATTCTACAAAAGTTTTAAAGAATAAGTTACACCAATTCTCTACAAACACCTCCAGAAATAAAACCAGAGGGAAAACTTACCAACTCATTCAATGAGGTCGCCATTACCTTAATACCAACACCAGGGAAAGACATTACAAAAAAAAGACTACAGTCAAATATCTAGATGAACATAGATACAAAAGGTATAAATGAACATGGTACAAAAATTAACCATCAGCAATTTGACTCCGGCATTGTGTAAGAAGAATTATACACATCCACCTAGTGAGATATACCCCAATTATGCAAGGCTGGTTCAGTGCTCAAAAATGAATTCATGTAATTTATTACATGAGCAGCCTGAAGAAGAAAAATCACATGATCGGTTCAATATCTGACAAAATCCAACATCCATTCATGAATAAAATGTTCCCGTAATCAGGAAAAAAAGGAAACTTCTTCAACTGGATGGAGAATATAATATGTACACAAATCCTATTAGCAGGATCACGCATACTTAACAGCGAGAAACCAGACGTTTTCCTGCTTTGATCAGGAGCAAGGCAAGGAAGTTCTCTCCCTGTTTCTCCTCAGTGTCATATTGGAATACCTTGCTGATGCAATAACACAAGATAAAGAAATAAAAGTCATATATATGAGAGATAGAAAGAAAAAAACGATGAAAAAATGAAAGGAAGAATGGAAGGAAATGGAAGGAAGGAAGGAAGGAAGGAAGGAAGGAAGGAAGGAAGGAAGGAAGGAAGGAAGGGAGAAAAGAGAAAGGAAACTGTATTTTTCTACGTGGGCATGATTGTCTCGGTAGAAAATCCAAAAGAAAAAAAGGAGAAAACAAAACTCCTGTAAGTAACAGGTGATTGAAGCAAGGATAGAGTATACAAGGTCAATATACAAAAGTCAGTTGCTTTTCTACATATTATATGAAATTAGACAATAATAGCATGAACTATAGCAGCCAAAATATAAAATACTTAGATATAAATCTAAAAGAAATGTGTACATGATCTATATGAGCAAAACCATAAAACTCTCATGTAAGAAATTTGGGAAGAACTAAATGAAGAGCTATTCTATGTTTACGGATGGGAAGACTCAATACTCTGGAGATAGTTCTTAGATTCCCTGCAAACCCACTCAAAGTTCCAGCCTATTATTGTGTGGATTTCACCAAAGTGATTAGAATTTTTCCATGGCGAGGGGGGCCCAGAACAGCCAGCACAATATCGAGGGAAGGAACGAGTTGGAGAACGAACTCTACTCGACTTCAATTCTCACGTTGAAGCCACAGTCATCAGCACAGGGAGGCTATTCCTGAAGAAATAGAATCGATTTTTATGAGTGAGATCTATGTGTAGTCTCATTTATTAAACTCTTAACAGGGGACATTTCATTGTGTGCTATGAACAGAGAATGAACGTATGTGATCCCTGCTTTCTAAAAGTGTGGGAAACGCAAATAATACATGAGCTATAAAGATGGAATGATTGCTCTAATACAGTGATGGCGAACCTTTTGAGCTCGGCGTGTCAGCATTTTGAAAAACCCTAACTTAACTCTGGTGCTGTGTCACATATAGAAATTTTTTGATATTTGCAACCATAGTAAAACAAATATTTATAGTTTTGATATTTATTTTATATATTTGAATGCCATTTAACAAAGAAAAATCAACCAAAAAAATGAGTTCGCGTGTCACCTCTGACAGGTGTGTCATAGGTTTGCCATCACTACTCTAATATGATGACACACAGGGGTGCTTGGGAAATGCAGAGGAAGAAGTCAGAGGAGAGGCCAGGATGAAGAGTAAGAAGAGAGAAGGGTCGGGAATCTTCCTGAAAAAGAGACAAACTTCTAGCTTAAACAGGAAGGAGGTGGGTCAGAGTCGGCCAACCACACGCGAAGGGAAATAGCTTTGGGGACAGGAGACGATGCCCAGATGCTGACCCCGCATTGCGGTAGATCCCTCCATCCCGAGGAGATGCAATAGTTTGGTGTCAGGAAGACCTCGGCAGGCGTGGCAGTGAGCGTCCAGGCGGACCCCCAGGGACACCCAGCCACGTGGAACGGCCTCCCGTGCAGCGTGGGAAGGACCAGCACGTGCCTCTCACATTGGGAGGAAAAACTTTTATGATCACGTTATGCTTGGGGCTGGTATAAAAAATTCAAGGTGAATAAATTGAATTTCAGTTTCAAAATGATAACTTTTTAGCATAAATATGTGTCGTGCTCTCTCAGGGACAGACGTGGCAATGGGCAACTCCAGTTAAATGATACGCCACCAATTTCGCCCAAGTCCTGGCTGGCCCCTTGGGTGTGACCTTGTGAGAATCGGAGCCGAGATGCCAGTCAGGCTGAGCTCAGACCCCAGACAACACAAGGCCTGTGAGATCACAAGTGGGCGCTGCCCCTGCTGCTCCTGTGGGGTCACTACAACAGGCCTCCTCTCGATCCTCTCCGTGACCTGGGGGGTGCAGGGGGCCTGGGTGACCTGGGGGTCAGGTCTGTGCATCAACAGGGGTCAGGAGACCAGTCGCGGGGATGATGTCAGAGACAAACCCCTGGAGGGACAGGGAGAAGGAGGGGCCCTCAGCCAAGCCTGAGGGGACTGGCTCCTGCACAAGGTGCTGAAGGAAAGTTCATGCAGGACCCTGAGTGTCCCCGGGAAGAATGAGAGACTCAAAAGTGACCGGGGACTTTATAACAGGGTAACTTTACCAAGAAAATGGATCCTTGTAGGAAATGATGAGCTCCCTGTTACAGCAAGTGTTCAAGTCTCCAATGATTAGAAAGGTGACATATGTCACATTACAAAGAGGAACAGAGACGTGATCTTGGTGCTGCATGAGCTGTGTGGATTTTAGTAAGTTCCTTAACCTTTTTGTACCTCAATTTCCATGTGATAAGGACCCTAATCTTTCACAATTTCATGGGCATCACAGAGATGCAATGGCTGAGGGGACCTGTGCTCGACAACACGTTCAACAATGTCATTGTGAGGACACTGTGGGGTTGGTGCTCTGGGTAGAACCGAAGGACCCCCCAGAGCGGATACCAATGTCCTGGGGAGCGGCTCCCGGAGTAAAACAGGCCACGACCCAGCATTTCATGAGTGTGGACTTACAGGAACCCTCCGCCAGGAAATGCTCAGTGTCACTGCAGCCCAGCACTGAGCTCCAATGAGATCCAGTACGGACTCATTAGCAATTCCTTAGCTGTCAAAGGCTTGAGTGGAGCGCATTTAATAGGCTCATTCCAGACAGACACGCCCCTCCCTCCCCAGAACTTTGACTCCTGGACTGAGCTTTGAACCCACGTGTTCCGATGAGTAGATCATTGATGGGCACTGTTCTCATTGACCTGTCATTGGCTCAAGACAAGGCCCAGGTGACACAAAACAAACACGGTTCCCAGTAAAAGTGAGAGACTCTATACTAATGGTCGTTAACTACCGAGTCCTCTCATGATCCACTGACAGGAGTGACCTGCACATACCGGGCGTGAAGTGAATATTTCCTGGGTGAGTCCCAGACGCGATGGCATTCCTGGGCCCTTCCTGGCGTATATAAAGCTTCCAGGGGAGGAGGCAACATTCACACTCAGAAACGTCCCTCTTCGCTTCAACCCAACCTTCACCCTCTGCCAGCATGTGCTGCAACTACTACGGGAACTCCTACGGGGGCTGTGGCTACGGCTCTGGCTATGGCTGTGGCTATGGCTCTGGCTATGGCTGTGGCTACGGCTCTGGCTATGGCTGTGGCTATGGATCTGGCTATGGCTGTGGATATGGATCCAGATATGGCTGTGGCTATGGCTCTGGCTATGGCTGTGGCTATGGCTCTGGCTATGGCTGTGGATATGGATCTGGCTATGGCTCTGGCTACGGCTGTGGCTACGGCTCTGGCTATGGCTGTGGCTATGGCTCTGGCTATGGCAGTGGCTGCTGTACCTTCCGACCATGCTGCTACCGACGATGCTATTCCTCTTGCTGCTAGAACATCCGCCTAGAACACCCTGCGCCTCCAACATAATATTGAAAATTAATGCTTTTCCTCCGAACGATGCCCCATTTGTCATCTCTACACTCCAGTACGGATTGGACACCTCCTGTTTTTACATCCACTTCTTGTTGTTATTGAGGAAGTGGGAATGCGTCCATTGTGGGACCTGAAGACGGAAGATGTGATTGTGATTACGTTCACAATGTCCACGCTCGGCTTTTCTATCCTATGAAGTTGTGTTGTCCTGGAACACAAATACGCCAGAGTTGGAAGAAATTATACTTTTTCAATAAACAAACTTGATGTGTTCCTGGAAGTGACTGTGTTTTGTGTCAGAATCTTCACTGTCCCTGTGGCCTTCCCAGAAGCCGATCGGCCACTGTGTCCGCCGATCCTTGGGTTTCTTATTCCGTCATCGACTGCACGTGCCCTTCTCTCACCAACACACATGGTCCTGTTACTGCAGGTCGCAGTGGGTCTTAGTGTTGGGTGATGTGTATGTTCCAACCTTGCTCCTCTTCACAATTACCGTGGCTCTTCTGGTTTCTTTGTTTTCCATCTAAACTTTAGAATCAGCTTGTCAAAATCTACAAAAATACCCTGCTGAGAGTTTTATTGGGATGGAATAGAATCCATTCACCAATTGTGGAGGAATGGATTCCTCACACTATTGAGCCTTTTGGTCCATAAACATGGTGTGTGGGTCTCCTTTGATTTCTGTAGTGGGATCTCATTTAAAATTCAATGATGAGCATTGTACTCACTGAAGGCATATTCTGGAGGGGGAGACATATAGCAGTGCAAAATCAAGGACACATCTAAATAACTAAATAAAAATAGTAAATTAACAGAATTATAAAGGGTGTTTATAATGATAATGACATAGACAGTGGGTTGCTCTGAAATATCACGTGGCCAATAAAAGTCACTGAAGAAACAGACACTCTTCACAGGCTTGTAACTTCCTAATACATTGAACCAATAATAACCCTCCAAAACAGGAAGCTTCACGGGAAAATTCTCCAAAAGTTTTAAAGAAGTTACACCGATTCTCTACAATCACTTCCAGAAATAAAACCAGAGGGAAAACTTACCAACTCATTCAATGAGGTCACCATTACCTTAATACCAACACCAGGTAAAGACATTACAAAAATAGAGACTACAGTCAAATATCTAGATGAACATAGATACAAAAGGTATAAATGAACGTGGTACAAAATTAAGCATCAGCAATTTGAGGCCGGCATTTTATAGGAAGAATTATACACATCCACCTAGTGAGATATACCCCAATTATGCAAGGCAGGTTCAGTGCTCAAAAATGAATTCATGTAATTTATTACATGAGCAGAATGAAGAAGAAAAATCACATGATCGTTTCAATAAAAGCAGAAAAAGCATGTGACAAGATCCAACATCCATTCATGAATAAAATGTTCCCGTAATCAGGAAAAAAGGAAACTTCCTCAACTTGATAGAGAATATGTACACGAATCCTATTAGCAGCATCACGCATACTTAACAGCAAGAAACCAGACATTTTCCCGCTGCGGTCAGGAGCAAGGCAAGGAAGTTCTCTCCGTGTTTCTCCTCAATGTCATATTGGAAGACCTTGCTGATCCCTAAGAAAAAGAGATTAAATGGAACAGACCAATGAATCCCAGAGAGGAGGGGGATGGGGAGAAGGAAGTGATGATATGCATATATGCATCACCTATGGACACAGACATCAGGGTGGTGAAGGCTTGGTGCGGGATGGGAACTGGGTGAAGGGTGGCAGTATGGGGATAAAGAGGGACGTCTGTGATACGCTCAACAACAAAGATTTTTTAAAAGAGATAAAAGTTATCCTGAGAGAAAGAAAGAAATGAAATTGCGTTTTTCCACCTGGGGCATGATTGTCTATGTAAAAAAATCCAAAAGAAACAACCGAAAAAACAAAATTCCTATCAGTAACAAGTGATTAAAGCAAGGATAGAGTATGCAAGGTTAATATAGAAAAGTCAATTGCTTTTCTACATATTAATATGAAATTAGACAATAATAGCATTGACTATAGCAGCCAAAATATAAAATACTTAGATATAAATCTAAAAGAAATATGTACAAGGTCTATATGAGCAAAACCATAAAACTCTGATGTAAGAAATTAGGGAAGAACTAAATGAATAAATATTCTACATTTACGGATGGGAAGACTCAATATGTGAAGATAGTTCTTAGATTCCCTGCAATCCCACTCAAAATTCCAGCCTATTGTTGTGTGGATTTCAGCAAAGTGATTGTAAAGTTTCCATGGAGAGGGGGGCCCAGAACAGCCAGCACAATATGAGGGAAGGAACAAGATGGAGAATAAACTCAATTCTCACGATGAAGCCACAGTCATCAGCACAGGGAGGTCTTGGTGAAACAGACAAAAGCAATGGAGCGGAATAGCCCAGAAGCAGACTCACATGAGCAGGTGACAGCTGGTCTCTGTGAATGCGGAAAAGACGGCCTTTTCAACACATGGTGCGGGAACAACTGGCCGTCCACACACAAAAAAAGAAAAAATCTAGAAGTAGACCTCGCACCCTTGAGGACAATTAACCTGAAATGTGTCTCAGACATAAATATAAAATAAAAACTATAAATCTTCTAGAAGACTTCGTAGGAGGAAACCTCGATGACCTTGGGGATGGCCGGGACTTAGTTACCAAACCAAAGGCGCAGGCCACTACAGGAAGAGGGATAAGCCAGACCTTGTTAGAATCAAAACATCGGCAGAAGACCTGGTCAACCGGCCACACAGACAGGCCACACACGGGGAGGAAGTATTTGTAAGGAGCACATCTGGCAGTGTGATCCAAAATATACAAAGAGCTCTTAAAACTCAGTAATAAGAAAGCAAAAGACCTTATGTAACCAGGGGCCAAGGACCTTGACAGACACTTCACCAAAGAAGATTGCAAATGACCACATGAGAAGATGGTTCCCGTGAGACGTCATCCACATTAAAATGACAATTAGACGCCGCCACCACCTCTGAGAGCGGCCAAAACCCGACAGCCGGCGCCCACAGGACTGAGAAGCCAGAACTCTCATTCACGGCTGGTGGGAACCAATCGGTGCGGCCACGTGGGAAGACAGGTTTGTAGTTTCTGATAAAACGAAGCCTACGCTCCCATGTGCTCCAGCTTGTGCTCTGATGTCCACAGAAAGCTGCATGGGAGGTGGGAGCAGCTTCTACATCATCGTCGAGAGTTGAGGAGCCAAGATGCCCCTCAGGCGGTGAATGGACACACGGACTGGGTGCACCCAGACAACAGGATGTTATTTCGGGATAAAATGAAACGAGCTTGAAGCCACAAGACCTGGAAGGATCTTAGATACGTATTCGTACATGAAAAGAGATTCCAATCTGGAAAAGCTACACATTGTATGGCTCCAACTCTGTGACCTTCTGCGGAGGGCAGGACCATGGACTCAGTCAGCCCGTCCGTGGTTGTGGGAGTTCGCGGCGGCCGGCGGGCAGGAGGGGAGGGCATGGGACAAGGAGTGTAGGACAGTGAAGGTGTCTGTGTAAGACCACAGTGATGGCTCCATGCCATTGGGCATTTATTCAACCCGTGGGATGTACAGCCCTGGGAGAGACCCCCAGGGCGACCCCGATGTAACCACGGAGCGTGGGGGATCGCCGAGGGTCAGCGCAGCTTCCTCGGTTGGACCAAATGCTGCTCCATGAAGAGGCTGAGGGTGGGGAGGCTGTGCGTGGGGGAGGGGCGGGACAAATACGGGGAATCTCTGCACATTCTTCTTAATTTTCATATAAACCTAGGACTTCTCTAAAAAATCGTCTTTAAAATGAAATATTGGGAACCTAAAATGCCTCTGAAACATCACAAAATTAAGATAACATTTAGATAACATCTGAATCTCACGGATCAAAGATCTTAAAATTATAAAAATTTAAATTAAATTTGAAGATAGAACAATAGCAATTACCCAAACTTAAAATCCAGAGAGAATTTCTTTAAATTTGTTATCTGAGGTACAATACTGAGTGACCGCATACACAGGATTATGTCTCAAAGAGGCTCACGAGCGGATTTGAATAAATGTTCCCCATTTGACTTTGCAAAAGGGTCCTATGAACCGGAGGGCGAAGAGCTGAGCAGGTAACAGCCACACAGGGAGCCAGGACTAGTGCTTTCCCATAACCCATTGGGGTAAACGGAAAACGTTTTTAAACATATTTTTATCGATTTCACGGAGGCAGGGAGAGGGACAGAGAGAGAAACAATGATGATGAGAAAGAATCACTGATCGGCTGCCTCCTGCACGCCCCCCACTGGGGATCAAGCCCGAAACCTGGGCCTGTGCCCTGACCGGGAATCGAACCTGGGACCCTTCAGTCTGCTGGCCGACCTGATGCTCTATCCACTGAACCACACCAGCTAGTGCAGAAACTTTTTTACTTTCTAATTTTATAATGATAATTAATCTTAAATTAGAAATAATAAGCATGATTTGTGGCACATAAGAGTAAAATCAATAATACGCATAACAGAGGGTGGAGAGTGTGGACGACTGTAACGTTGGCATGTGCTGCCGAGAGTTGTATGATGTCACTCATGGCCGAGGGAGTGAGTTACGATGCACGTTGCAGCCCTGGGTTGCTGTTGAAACCATCACTGTTGGCCTAGCTCAGTGGTCGGCAAACTCATTACTCAACAGAGGCAAATATCAACAGTACAACGACTGCAATTTCTTTTGGGAGCCAAATTTTTTAAACTTAAACTATATAGGTAGGTACATTGTTATTCACTTCATTAGGGTACTCCTAAGGCTTAGGAAGAGCCACACTCAAGGGGCCAAAGAGCCACATGTGGCTCGCGAGCCGCAGTTTGCCGACCACTGGCCTAGCTACTAAACCAACGGAGGATGAACATGAAGCACCAACATAAAGTTCCAGAAGCAGGAAAATAAGGCCAAGAAAAGGGAAGTACAAA